TGGGAACAAAATTGGGATTTTGCTGCCAATCCCAGATGTGGTTTGCTGGTGGATACTGGACATCATAAGCTAGTTGTGGTGTGGTGGTGGATGATGCTCCACTTTGCCCTTGAGCTGAGGAGTCAGCGGCGTGGGTCCCAGCCTGGGCTGGTGAGTCATGCATGGATGTGGCACTACCACCACTACCACCACCAATACCACCACCTACTGATGCCTGTGGTCTATCCATGCTAAGTGTAGCCACATCATCCTCATTTTCACTGTCTATTCCTGGTGTAGGGCCATGGGATGTACTCATCCCCTGAGCACTGCATAGGAAACATTACCCAAGCGCATGTGGCAGCGTATGTACTGACGCTTCACTGGTGAATATGATTCACCACTATCACTACTCGAATGATCATCAAGAGCAATAAAATCACACGCCACATCACTCTCATCATCATTACTGAAGCCTGAGGCCTGGCCATGCAAAAATATTAGTTTTCTCTTGCGACGAGGTACAAATGAACGTGACTGAGACGTGCCCACACCAGAGGTAGAAGGTTGAGGATCGTCAGGATTTTCTGTATTATTTTCAATATCCTGGTCATTGCTTTCGGTCACTAATCGATCAAAGCCATAGAATTCTTCTTCTTTTCTACTTCCATCAGAGTCAGAACTATCAGTTACGAAGAGGAGAATCCGAATTCGCCTTGGAGTGAGAGCTGCCTTGAGGCAAGGCATGGTGAACAAAGGTTACTGAGGCGGCATTCCCACAATGCCACGTGGGAACCTAGAATTTTTGTTTATGGCGCACACACACACCACGCAGACCCGTTCTCTCAGATGTAGGCCTACCAGCCTTCTCGCACTAAATTTGACACCGCTAGAATTTTGGCGTAGATCTATGGTTTGGACCCTCAACGTATAGCCATAGATCTACGGCACAGACCCTGAAAGGGTTAAATGTCATATGTATTTTGTATAGGTTGATAGCTGACATTTAAAGTACTCCAGAGCAATTGTTATTACTATTATTAATATTAATTATTATTATAATCATCGACATACCTTGTTCACTTACTTTAATCATTTCTTAAGCTGTCCACAAGAAATGCAGAGAATGTTAACACACAGATGAACACACCAGCAAACTCCTTTACAGTGAACTACTTCTGTACTTCCATTTTCCTCTTGTTTTTCCTCTTCCAAGTGCTGTTGCATTTCTATCTTATGGGGTGCACAATAGTTAGAAGTGCAGCAGCACTTGGAAGAAGAAAAACAAGAGGAAAATGTTAGAAGTACAAAAGAAGTTCACTGTAAAGGGATTAGCTGGTGTGTTCGTCTGTGTTTACATTTTCTGTGTCTCTTTTGGCAGCTTAACTGTCTAAACATAGATCTATGTTGCTAGTGCTCCAAATGTAGATCAACGTTTTATTTTTCCTGCCTTCAAATTTGGCACGATTGGCCTGAGATGCCTGGCAAGTAAAGAATGGGTCTTAACACTCGGTGTGTGCAGTATTAAAAAAATCTGGGACCATTTAGTACCTTGTGGGAGCACCAGTTCAATTGAGCATCAGCTAGAGCAAACAGCATGGCAAACACTAGGGATTCACTGATGTCATGTTGTATTAACACTCCCCTTTTAAAAGGAATCTGATGTTGACACAGTTTAGTGGCTCTGGGATGGATGTGGCCACAAGTGGTTGAGGAAATATCAAAAACCTCGATAATAACCCATGTGCAACATCCTTTCAATTTTGATACCACTGGTAGTGTCATCCAGACAATGTCCTATAACCTATGCCATAAGTAAAGAGCAACAATTCTGAAACATGTGTAATACATGTTCAACAGGCTGGGGGTGGACTGGGCAGCCAGCTGGCTGGCAGTTACCCCCTTTACTGTGAACTTCTTTTGTACTTCTTCCATTCTTTGTTCATCTTCTTCATCTTTCTACAGTATATATACGCCTCTCATCCTACATTAAGACTATAAATATTTTAAGGTAAGTAATGAGTGTACTGTATGTGTATTCTACTTTTTTTATCATTTATAATATGTTATTTTATTTTTATTATCACACTGGCCGATTCCCACCAAGGCAGGGTGGCCCGAAAAAGAAAAACTTTCACCATCATTCACTCCATCACTGTCTTGCCAGAAGGGTGCTTTACACTACAGTTTTTAAACTGCAACATTAACACCCCTCCTTCAGAGTTCAGGCACTGTACTTCCCATCTCCAGGACTCAAGTCCAGCCTGCCGGTTTCCCTGAACCCCTTCATAAATGTTACTTTGCTCACACTCCAACAGCACGTCAAGTATTAAAAACCATTTGTCTCCATTCACTCCTATCAAACACGCTCACGCATGCCTGCTGGAAGTCCAAGCCCCTCGCACACAAAACCTCCTTTACCCCCTCCCTCCAACCTTTCCTAGGCAGACCCCTACCTCGCCTTCCTTCCACTACAGACTGATACACTCTTGAAGTTATTCTGTTTCGCTCCATTCTCTCCACATGTCCGAACCACCTCAACAACCCTTCCTCAGCCCTCTGGACAGCAGTTTTGGTAATCCTGCACCTCCTCCTAACTTCCAAACTATGAATTCTCTGCATTATATTCACACCACACATTGCTCTCAGACATGACATTTCCACTGCCTCCAGCCTTCTCCTCGCTGCAACATTCATCACCCATGCTTCACACCCATATAAAAACGTTGGTAAAACTATACTCTCATACATTCCCCTCTTTGCTTCCAAGGACAAAGTTCTTTGTCTCCACAGACTCCTAAGTGCACCACTCACCCTTTTCCCCTCATCAATTCTATGATTCACCTCATCTTTCATAGACCCCTCCGCTGACACATCCACTCCCAAATATCTGAATACATTCACCTCCTCCATACTCTCTCCCTCCAATCTGATATCCAATCTTTCATCACCTAATCTTTTTGTTATCCTCATAACCTTACTCTTTCCTGTATTCACTTTCAATTTTCTTCTTTTGCACACCCTACCAAATTCATCCACCAATCTCTGCAACTTCTCTTCAGAATCTCCCAAGAGCACAGTGTCATCAGCAAAGAGCAACTGTGACAACTCCCACTTTATGTGTGATTCTTTATCTTTTAACTCCACGCCTCTTGCCAAGACCCTCGCATTTACTTCTCTTACAACCCCATCTATAATATACGTATTTAATTCACCATTTGGCATCATTATAAAGTGGGTGGAGCTATAGCAGAGGGAGAATTGAGCAGTATCTCAGTAACTGGTGATTCACCATGACACACACAGGTATGCCTCACCCACTATAAAATATTGCATAATTACACTATTACAGTAGACCCCAGGTTTTCATAATTAATCTGTTCCAGAAGGTCGGCTGAAATCTGAAATGGCTGAAAACCGAAGTAATATTTCCCATAAGAAATAATGTAAATCCAATTAATCCATTCCAGACATCCAAAAATACATTTTATAGAGAATAACTATAGTTTAACATACAGAAAAAATGAGAAATAAATATAAAGCACTAATTTTAATGATATATGAACATTACATACCTTTATTGAAGACTCTTGTTGGCATAAGGAAGAAGGCAAGGAGGGAAGAGGGAGGAGAGAGTATTGTTTGGAAGGGGAATCACCCTCCATAAGGACTTCAGGTATCAAAGCCCTCTCTGGGGTTACTTCCCTTCTTTGTCTTGTACAGTGGAACCCTGAGTTTCGGCTGTAATCCGTTCCAGGAGCTAGGCCTCAAATCAAAACAGCCTAAAGTCGAAGCAGTATTTCCCATAAGAAATAATATAAATACAATTAATCCGTTCCAGACCCCCAAAAATATTCACAAAAATTACGTACATATTTTAAAGAATAACTATAGTTTTACATACACAAAACAATTATAAATATATTTATAGTACTTAAATGAGTAATGAAATGTATAAATAAACATTTAAAATCACATTTATGTACCTCTATTGAAGACTCCTGGTGGTGCCTGGAAGATAGGGAGGAGGAGAGAGGGAGGACTTACTATTGTTTGGAATGGGAATCCCTTTCAACCACTGCCTCAACCAGTTTCCACCACTGCCTAAACTACTGCCTCCACCACTGCTTCCACCACTGCCTCAACCACTGCTTCCACCATTGCCTCAACCACTGCCTCAACCACTGCCTCCACCACTGCCTCCACCACTGCCTCCACCACTGCCTCCACCACTGCAGCGCACTGCCTCGTATTTTTGTACAATTTCTTCTTTCTTCTGCTGCACTCAAAAGACAAGCATAAAACACAATGAATTATATTGTGAAATGTTTGGATGAGGGTGCAGGGTAATGTTCACTCAAGGATAAACAAGCAGCCAGACTGACTCGCAATACCTGTGCACCTGCCCGTGCAGGCGTAGGCAGGCGGACAGGTCTGGTACAGGGGCCAAAACATTGGGCACAGTGCGAAACTCAGGCCAAAATTTAGCCAAAAAAAAAAGAAGTCTAAACTTGAAGCCGCCAATACTCAGGGCACCTGAAAACAGGGGTTCCACTGTACTGGCACTAGGACAAGCTTGAGAGTCACTGCACCCGTCACAAAAAATCTGTCCAGATAGGCGTGTTTCTGGCATCTCTAAGATTTGTTTAAAATGAGACAAGACATTGTCATTGAACATGTTGCAGACATGGCTTGCAACAGTTTTGTTAGGGTGATAATTCTCAGCAAAACTTTGCAACTCGCTCCACTTTGCGCACATGTCCTTAATTACTGAAGAAGGCACATTCTCTCCCCTCTCTTCCTTCTCCTCTGAAGCAATATCCTCAGTTGTGGCCTGTTGCTGTTCCAGTGAAGGTGTTGCAGCTCTTCAGTGGTTAGCTCTTCCCTGTGGTCCTCCACCAACTCTTCCACATCCTCACCACTCACATCCAACCCCATGGACTAAAATACCACTATAACCAAGTAATGTCATCTTACCTTAAAACACCTCTAGAATTAACTAATAAACACAAAATATTTACATTGTTGTGTCAGTTTAGTCTCCAGTTCAGTTATCCTCCTGGCTTCTCCACTGCTCAGCCTCACAGAGGAACCCTCGACGTTCTTGGAAGCAGCAGCAGCAGCTACTGGGGTTGTGACAGCAGCCTTGGCTTCCTCAACCTCACTCTCCAGCTCCATGATGCGGTGGTTTAGTTGTCTGCCAGGGTTAATGTAAATTTTATACATAATTCAGTACTGTAAACTTCTACAATTTAGAAACACACACAGTTCTGAAAGTCATGCAATAAAGTTTGATTAGTTTTGTTTATATTTTCTTAACAGATCAATTATTTAAGTTTGTTTAGAGGCCTGATTCACATGTCCACCATTTTTAGAAAAAAGAGCAATTGTAACAAGAGGAAGTAAATGGAACAGCGAAACAAACAAGATTTGTTAAGACACTTCTATACGGTTCAGAACATTTATTCAAGGTAACACTGCCATGAGTGGCTTGTTTAGGGCTGCAATCATCATAGTCAAACATTTAGTACGTACTTCAATAAATGTTGTGAATAGTATGAGAGTCTTTTGAATCAGGAAACTAGTATAATACAAGACTTATGTCACTGTCTTGCACATGTTCAAGTTTCTCAATATGATGTTTTATGATGCTCCTTCACTAAACACTGAAGACAGGATACTACAATACACCTGCTGCTGTAAATACACTGAAAAAGATAATCACCTGTTCTGACAGCCAAGAGTCTTCCAAGTCCTTCCTTACCCATGCATATTAAGTAGAGATTCTTCGTAAGCACTGCATTTGTTCATGTATTATTCAGGAGGTGGAACTACTAGAATATTACAAAAAAAAAAAACATGCATCTACCAGGTGCAAATGTATAACACTACCAGTACCACCACCATGCATAATGTATGGTAAGACACTGAAGAATGGTTAGTAGTCTCAACACTAACTTTTTTTTTTTTTTTTTTTTTTTACACAGGGTTCTACAAGTTTAGGTTTAGGGTTCCTAACTTTATTTACAAGTTAAGAGCTGTTACCTTTATCAGCTCATTTGAAAGTCTTCTCATTACTAAGAGATATACAAATAGTGAGCAGGATGAAGTTGTAGCCAGCTGTGGGCCAGTGATTTCATTTGGTCAAATGATTTTTATTTTGTTGATGTCATTATGCTCTATGAACATGTTCCAGACTCTAGTCATCCTAGGAATAAATGATCACAGATGAAGTACAGTACAGTAGACCATCAGCTAACATGAAATATGTTAACACTTAACAGTTAATGCAGTTGTATAATTGCAGCATGTTTTAGGTAAACATGCCATATTGATCAGTTTACATGGCAGCATACATGTAGGGGAAAATGTGGCATGCAACATATTTCCTGTTTTTTCCCTATGTATCCGAGAGTGAGCCTAAGGGTGAGTCTATTGTCTTATAGGGAAAGCCTCCCTTATGTACACAACCTCCCTTACCTCAATGTTCCATTTGTACTCATCCAGTACCATACCTTAGCCACAGGCTTCTGCCATACCACTTGCCTCCACCCATTCCCTGTTACACATCCAGCAACCTTTCCCTATGGCTTCATACCCTCGCTGCACATCTACCAACCTTACACATACCACTTACCCCTATAATTCACCCACAACCACATACCCTCAACCCAACAACCTCCACCAACACAACCTACCCATACAATTTTCCCTACAGCCACACACTTACACCATTCTCCCATGGCCACATTCCCCAACTATCTCAAGACCACATCTTGCACAATCCCATGTCCTCACCCACACCATTTCTTCATGATCTCATGCCCACACCTTACTTGACCTTTCACTGTATGTCATGCACATAGCTAATCTCTCATTACTGCCCACACCATCAACTGCACACTCACCCACACAGTCACCACACCGCCTTATTATTTCCTGCCTCCACCCCTGACACCCCTCCACTGCTCAACATCCTCAACCTCCTAACTCCAGCTCCTGTCCCTACCCCTCCACTTCTTGGTTTCCACCTCCTATGCCAGTAGTTCCCCAATTCCCACTCACACACTGAACCCCCCCACATCCCAACCACTAACTCCTGCTTAACCCCTCCCATGTACACCCCAACCCCTACATCTCACACAACTCTAACCCCTCCTTTATAGATGCCATACAATTGCAGTGAGTGAGACCACCAAACAATAAGCCACCTTTGTCTGTTAGCAGAGATGTGGTTGTGGGATCTTTGAGTGACATACATCACCACATTCACTGATAATTATATTATTATCATTTTTTTTACAATTCTGAGATCTTAAAAAATCTGGGTGACTTATTTGGGAGGTTTAAGGAATGTAACCCAATTTTTTCAATAATTTCTCTAGTTCATTTTACAAGATTTTTTTATGACATGCTATTTTCAGGAACATAACTACTGTGTTAACAGATGGTCAACTGTGTTAACAGATATACAGTAGAGTACTGAACTGCTGTCACTTCTATTTTTCTTATATTTTCCAATTTAACACATTCAGACAAGCCTCCCTATTTAAACATCATATCAAACGTACATTTATTCAACTAGTTTATTTATTCAAAGGTTTATCTAGTCAACTAATGCATCACATGGACTCAAACCCACACTATTTGCAGATGACACTACATACGTCTTCTCTCACCCAAGCCCAGTCATGCTAGCCAATACTGTAAATACCGAATTACAGAAAATATCTACCTGGATGATGACTAACAAACTTACTCTCAACATTGACAAAACCTACTTCATTCAGTTTGGAAACAGAACTACAGATGTCCCTCTTAACATAATGATAAATGGATCATCTATCACAAAGCTCACAGAGGGATAATTCTTAGGAATCCACCTTGATAATAGACTCAAATTTCAAACACATGTACAACAAACTTCCAAGAAAATTTCCAAGACCGTAGGCATACTATCAAAGATACGGTAATATGTTCCACAGTAAGCCCTCTTGGCCCTATATCACTCACTCATTTACCCCTATCTCACCTATGGAATTTGTTCATGGGGCTCAACAACAATAAACCATCTCAGACCATTAATTACCCAACAAAAGGCTGCAGTCAGAATGATGATAAATTCCTACTACAGGCAGCATACTCCACCAATATTCAAAACTCTAAACCTACTCACCGTACAAAACATCCATACTTATTATTGTGCCTACTACATACATAGAACACTTAACTTGGATATAAACCCTCCCCTCAAACTTCTCCTTACCAACCTCAACAGAAAGCATGACCATAACACAAGGCACAGATCACTTTGATGTTCCTCGTGTCCATCTTAACACTATGTAAAAACTCAATGCACATAAAAGGCCCAAAAATCTGGAATTCATTACCTGTGAATATAAAAGAAATACTGTCTGTTTATCAATTCAAGACTCTTCTTAAAAACCACTTACTCAACCACAACTAAATAAATACTGAATAACTGTATCTCATAAATGTATAACCTGTGACCCTCCCAAACTACGTTCTTTTAATTACATTACCTAATAGAATACTCCATTCTCTTGAATGCACAGTAACTCATCAATGACCATATGACCTGTTTCTGCACTACAAATCATTGATTTTATTCAATCTGACTGAATTATATTATAAATTATGCTACAAATTTGTACAACTATAAAGCTTCTTATTTGAAATACAGTGGACCCCCGGTTAACGATATTTTTTCACTCCAGAAGTATGTTCAGGTGCCAGTACTGACCGAATTTGTTCCCATAAGGAATATTGTGAAGTAGATTAGTCCATTTCAGACCCCCAAACATACACGTACAAACGCACTTACATAAATACACTTACATAATTGGTCGCATTCGGAGGTGATCGTTATGCGGGGGTCCACTGTACTCATTTGTGCTTCATGTTGTAATTTGTTTACTGTAATTTTTACTACTGAATATATCATTGCTTAGCTAATCTTAAGTTAATTTTAAGCTGCCCATAATGTTCTACATACAAGGGGCTTTTGGCATGTACACTCAACCACTGTATTACTTTGTACAGCTATGTATCATGTCCAAATTAATAATAAATAAATAAATAAACTAGTACTGCATTGTTATTAATAATAACCACCAACAAGTACTGTTTTGTTGTTAGTAATAACCACCAACAACGGGCTCGATACGGCATATGCTGTCAGTGGCCCTGAAACCCAACAGAAGAAGAAGAACCACCAACAACTAGTACTGTGTTGTTGTTAGCAATAACCACCAACAATCATGTAGTACCATGTTGTTAGCAACAACCATCCAGTACTGACCATATCTGGACTAATATAATAGTTCCTCTCACAGCAGGGATCATCACAGACATCAGCAAATATGTAGCTTTATTTCAGCAATATATGACACTGACTGGCACAGAGTTTACTGACAAAGTCTCTACAATAGACAGTGTCTTATTAACCCTTTGAGGGTCTGTCCCACAGTTCTACGGCTTTGAAGCCAGGGTCCGAGCTGTAGTATTACGTCATGAGTTCAGCTCACTCAGATAAGCTGTGAGCGGTAAATTTGGGCCTAGATATAAGAGAGTGCATCAATGTGTTAAGTGTGCACCATGTAAAACAAATCCTGCAGCATGAAGTGCATAATGAGAAAAAACTGCAGTAGTGTTTTTGGATTAAAACAGCGACTTAGTGGTGTATTTTCATTTAGTGTTTACAGATGTATTCATGGTTTCTTGGTCTCACTTGATAGAATGGAAGATATATTACAGAAATAGTGATGAGTTTGATTGGTTTTAGCACTCAAAATAACTTGAAATTGAGCTCAAAGTAGCAGAAACATTCGATTTTTGCCAATGTTCAAGAATAAACAAATCACATCATGCATCCAAGACACATCAGCTGGTCAGTCTTGTGTTCATTCATGAATGCACTGATATTATTTATATGATTATTACAATATTGCATAACAGTAAATCTTCTACTTTTTGGTGTGAATAAAAATTCTTTATGCGAATAAAAAACAAAATGTAATTCATGTGTAAAACCTGCAAATGTAATTAATAAACAGAGGAAGTGTTATTTTAGTGCCAGGAATGCCTGCATTGTTAATATCCTGGACCCTATTTTGAAACTGGAATATTTTGAACTTTGTGTGAAATTGGCCAAATTACCAATTTCCAATCACTTCA